AAGGGTACGACTTCTTTAAGCAGCTTAGTTGGGATGGGGTCTAACAGACAGGTTGATGGCTTCATTGAAGAAATGATTGAAGTTAATTGATGAAGATCGATAGTAGAAAAATCAGTGATCTTAAAAGTGTATTACTTTTGCTGGAAACTACAAGTAGAAGGTATAGATTTACCTTTTAGAAAACTGCAACTGATGCAATTTTAAAAATGTTTTGCTGACCTGTAATATTTTCGTGAAATCATTTACTTTTTTTCTTTGTAGAAAAACTTAAATCTTTGAGTTTTAAAAGCAGAAAATTGGAGTTCGGTCTAGACCTGCTCTATTTGAAATGTGTCCTGAGATAACTTCTGTTATGAATTGGCGTTATACAAATAAAACTGAACCTAACTGAATTAAATTGGAGCAGAGGGCCTGGGGATTGAACCACCTACCCTGATTGATAAATGGACACATTTAAATGTAATAATCCTGCACCTGTGTGGGGCCTATTCAAGGTGGGACACAAGGCAGCCCCTTCTGATCAGGGTACCTCAGGCTAAGAAGGTCCGGGCACTTACTACACTACTTTACACTTGGGAGCACGGAGGGTGAGGTGAGGGCCTAGTAATCAGCAATATGACCACTAGATGGCGCTAAATCCTCCACACTGGACCTTAAGGAATAACTGCTATGAATCCAACAATATTCAAAGGAGATGAGCTAGCTGTTTCCCATCTTTATGTTAAGCTAAGCTAACTGGCTGCTAGCTGCTAACAGGTGGACTCTGAGGATTTTGCTAAATGTTGAACTGTTCCTTTAACTTTCTGTCGGTTCCCGGTTCTGATAGCTTAACAGACATACCTGACAGATACTCTCTGTGTGTGTGTGCATGTGTGTGTCAGTGGATTGGTCTCAGGTGGGGAAAGCTTTGGTTCTGGTCGCAGTGATGGACGTGAACGATAATGCTCCGAACTTCGCCGCCAAGTATGAAACCTTCGTCTGCGAGAACGCTGAACCTGGACAGGTAAATCTCACCTGGGTACTGTTTGTTACTGCTGTGTTTGTGAACCTGGACAGGTAAATGTTTCTATGGTAGTGATAGTTGACTGTATTATCAGTCTCTAAGAGTCTCAGTGGATACTTTCTATCAGTCTACAGTCAGCAAAACACCATATCTTTTAATATTATTACAGAAAACACATAAGGCAATAACAGTCATATACAATACTACGAGCGACGGGCTCCGTCAGACGAGGGCTCACTGTCAAGCCTACTGCCCTGTGCTTCAATTTGTATTGCAACTGCGGACGTAAACATGCTAAACTTACACACTATAGTCATTAACAAATGTTACAGAACTTCCCAGTGCCACACAAATACAATATATACATTGCTCTTGCCCAGTGTAGTTGATTAACATTGCCAGCTTACCTGCAAAACGCAAAAATATCACTTTAGGTTTGTTAGGTGATGATCTTGACGACAACAGCTGCAATGATGGTGTTAAGCATATTTTATAATATGAGTAGCAAAGCCATGTTAAATAGCCTAAGCAGTGATGGCATGTGCCTGCGCGCACAGGGATGTTGTTGTGAGCATGCGCAGAATTAACGGTGTGTGTGAGTTCTCAGACCAAAAGAGACGATGGCGATCTGTGCTTTTTCTCCCGTGAATATTAGCCATTAGCAGGTGCTAGATAACCACTTTGGTGACTGTGATAGCGATAGACTGCTGCAGGAATGACTAACGCTACAGGTTATGGGCCCAGTCATGCAGGCCAAAGATGGTTCAGACTTTTATTCGACGGTGACGAGAAAAATTATGAACTCTGGGAAACGAGGTTCCTCGCGCATATGGAGTTGCGTGGCCTCAGAGAGTTATCTTGGAGGCCCGCAGATAGAGGGGAAAGAACGTTATAGGCCAGCCAATCGGCGGAGAGATTTGAGTTCTATAGAAGCGGAGAGGCATATGCAGAGCTAGTGCAATGTCTGGACAACAAGAGTTTGTTCGCTAAACGTGATGGAAGAAGAGCACTGGAAATTCTTCGCGAGCACTATGCCGGAAAGGACAAACCCCGCGTTGTGAGTTTGTATTGTGAACTTTCCTCGCTCCATAAGGCTAGCAATGAAACGATAACTGACTATATTATTCGAGACTATATTCACGTCATTGAGAAGAGCATATTTGTGATGGGCTTCAAATAGCCATGGTAGTAAAGGGGCTGCCTGATTCATACAAGCCATTCGTCGTGCACATCACCCAGACAAATGACGTTGTAACGTTCAGTGAGTTTAAAACAAAACTACGAAGTTATGAGAGTACTGAAAAATATGGGAAGAGTGACGTGAATGTAGAAGAAGACAACGTGATGAAAACTAGCGGGGCAACGTGCTCTCGTGGAAGAGGGAGAGGAAAGAAAATGAACCTGGCAGATGTCGAGTGTTACACGTGCGGT